TCCTCTCCTCTCCCCGGACCTGGCAGCCTGTTGGCTTTGTGAGCACCCCCCTCCCCCCGAAGTGCCGCAGGCAGGGAGCGAACAGTTTTGCTCGGTTCTGGCCGGTTGCCTGCCGAAGAGTCACCCTAAAGGTAGGTTCCGAAGAGGCTGGAGAGAGGCTGTTCTCAGTGGTGACAGATGGCAGAACAAGGAGCAATCATAGAATCCTAGAATACTAGGACAGGAGCCTGTTGGCTTTGTGAGCACCCCCCTCCCCCCGAAGTGCCGCAGGCAGGGAGCGAACAGTTTTGCTCGGTTCTGGCCGGTTGCCTGCCGAAGAGTCACCCTAAAGGTAGGTTCCGAAGAGGCTGGAGAGAGGCTGTTCTCAGTGGTGACAGATGGCAGAACAAGGAGCAATCATAGAATCCTAGAATACTAGGACAGGAAGGGACCTCGAGAGGTCATCGAGTCCAGTTCCCTGCCCTCATGGCAGGACCAAATACTGTCTAGACCATCCCTGATAGACATTTATCTACCCTGCTCTTAAATATCTCCACAGATGGGGATTCCACAACCTCCCTGGGCAATTTATTCAATGGTCTCAGGTTGCGGTGGGAGCGGGCCAGGTTGGATATTGGGAAAAACTATTTCACTAGGAGGGGGGTGAAGCACTGGAATGGGTTCCCTAGGGAGGTAGGGGAGTCTCCATCCCTAGAGGTGTTTAAGTCTCGGCTTGACAAAGCCCTGGCTGGGTTGATTGAGTTGGAATTGGGCCTGCCTAGAGCAGGGGGCTGGACTTGCTGACCTTCTGAGGTCTCTTCTAGCTCTAGGGTTCTATGACACCAGGAAGCAAACCCCCATCCTGTTCTCTGCCAGATGTCCCCATCGATCCTTCAGCGGGAAACCCGGAGGGGGTTTTCGCCAGCTGGGTGGATGCCAAGTGACCCCTAAGGGAATGGGATGGTCTCGGCTCCGAGAGGCCACGGGACGGCGGATGCTCGTCCTAGAAATCTCCGCTCGGAGATGCCCCAGAAAGCCAAGGACGGAAATGTTCTGGCTCAGAACGCGCTCGGACATGAAGGGCTGACCGCTGAAATGTGGGCTCCCTGCCTATGCCCTTAGAGCAATATAGACCTCGAGGGGGTTCCCAGCAGGCCGGGTTCCCCCCACGTCCTCCCTACCATGTGACGTGACGGCAACAGGGAAACCTTTCCGTGTGAATCTCGGGCCCAGAGAGCTTCACTAGATGGAGTTTAATGGGGAGTGAGAGGACTGGGAAGGGTTTGTAATAGACACGTGCCCAATCCCCCCTATTCAATTCGAGGGACGTCGGTTCCGGATCCATGCCTAGACTTTGGGGGGGAGAGGGGCCTGGCGCGCCATTTCTGGCCCATCGTCTGGCCCGACCCGATGGAACAGGGTCCATCCTCGCGTGGCCATTGCTGGGAAATGTCTCCCTCTCATGCAGCCAAAGCCTGAGAATGCGATAACAATCGCCGTCTCCTCGCGGGCTCTGTTCCGCATGGAGGAGGAGCAGAAAATTTACTCTGACCAGGGGGTGGAGGCCTATGTGAAATACCAGCTGGACCATGAGAGTGAACCCTTCCTCCCCGGAGCTGCCTTCCCCTTCGTCAAGGTAAGCCCATCGCTCCAGCCCCCAGACTCTCCCCCATTCCCAGGTCCCTCCCCACGAGGGCCTAGGTGAAACTGAACGTAAACACAAACCTTAGTGAATTCTGCTCTCCTCATTCCGGTGTCAATCCAGACTAGCTGCCACGGGGCGACTCTGGGTTCCTGCTAGTGTAACCGAGCAGAATCCAGCCCAGACAGTCGAGAGACCCTTTGTGGGGAGGGGGGAGCGAGAAAAAACCCGGGGGGAACTTCAGTAGGGCGGCGACTTCCACTGACCAGCCTGGATCCGAACTGAAGATCAGCTTCTTGTGTATAAGTCTTCCATGCTGCTAGCTACTTAGATGTGCCCCAGGAGCCTGTGGGCTGTGTCATGTAGATTGGATTAGACTGTTCCTCAGCCTTTTGAGGGCCAGGGAGGAAGGAGCTATGGATACTCCTGAGCATTGGCATGTCAGAGAGAATGGAACAGAGGGGTGGGTGGCTGGCTGGCTGGCTGGCTGGGGGGTGGGGGGTGGGAGGGTGAGGAAATGGGGGGGGGGGGGGTTTTGAGGGCCAGGGAGGAAGGAGCTATGGATACTCCTGAGCATTGGCATGTCAGAGAGAATGGAACAGAGGGGTGGGTGGCTGGCTGGCTGGCTGGCTGGGGGTTGGTGGATGGATGGATGAGTAGATAGGGGTGAGTGGGTGGATGGCTGGCTGGCTGGCTGGATGAGTAGATAGGGGTGTGGGTCCTGTGGCGGAAGTAGCTATGGATACTCCTGAGCATTGGCATGTCAGAGAGAATGGAACAGACGGGTGGCTGGCTGGCTGGCTGGCTGGCTGGCTGGCTGGGGGTTGGTGGATGGATGGATGAGTAAGATGGGGTGTGTAGGTGGGTGGGTGGATGGCTGGCTGGCTGGCTGGGGGTTGGTGGATGGATGGGTGAGTAGATAGGGGTGTGTAGGTGGGTGGGTGGATGGCTGGCTGGCTGGGGGTTGGTGGATGGATGGATGAGTAGATGGGGTGGGTAGGTGGGTGGGTGGGTGGATGGGGGTTGGTGGATGGATGGATGAGGAGATGGGGTGGGTGGGGGGGTGGGCGGCTGGGTGGGGGGGG